ATATATATATATATATATATATATATATATATATATATATTTCACAATTACATTGTATGTTGAATTATATTAACATTATTTTTCTTGCTACATCTTAAGTATGTGCCTTTTCAATATAATAAAAACTATAAAAGTTTCAGAAACAATAATTTAAAATTAAAAAAAAAAAGCAAAACAACCCCAAAAGAGCCTCTGAATTGCATCTATATATAGATATGTATGTATGTATGTATGTATAATAGACATATTTAAAATGTTTCAAGTAATTTATTTTACCATGTCTTTTGAGAAGTGCACTCGAGTAATGTTTTTTTTTTTTTTTAAATGTTTAATTGGCAGTTTTGTGAATGCATTGATTGATGGGTACATTAACATTACCAGACGCACAGGATGGCACCCACCATAATCAGGGACCATCATGGATATCGGCCGGAACAAGGCCTGCAGGTTGTCAGGCAGCTCGGTACGTCCGGCGTAGCCCGGGTTCATGGTGATGAACGCGGCGCACGTGTGGACCAGTTTAATCTCACGGCCTTCAAACATGAACCTGGTGGCCTTACGAGTCAGGGAAAGGTGAGAGGAAGATTTATTAATATTTTTTTTTATGTCAATGTTTAATACATTCATCTGTAGACATCCAAAATTAATGGTTCTCTTGATAATGATGATAATGATAATTAAATAAAGACGCCAAGACCAAAAAATAAAAAGGAAAAACAAATTCCAGGCTTAAGGCGAAACTAAAATATCAGATCAGATTTAGTTGTGATTTCTTGATTTTTAACTTAAAGCACAAATAAGATTCAGTTGTGATTTCCTGATTTTTAACTTAAAGCACAGATCAGATTTAGTTGAGATTTCTTGATTTTTAAATTAAAGCACTGATCACATTCAGGAGGGATTTCTTGATTTTTAAATTAAAGCACTGATCACATTCAGGTGTGATTTCTTGATTTTTTAACTTAAAGCACAGATCAGATTCAGTTGTGATTTCTTGATTTTTATCTTAAATCACAGATCAGATTCAGTTGTGATTTCTTGATTTTTTAACTTAAAGCAAAGATCAGATTTAATTGTGATTTCTTGATTTTTAACTTAAAGCACTGATCACATTCTGGAGTGATCTCTTGATTTTTTACTTAAAGCACAGATCAGATTCAGGTGTGATTTCTTTATTTTTAAGCCCCCACACCCTCACCTCATGACCCAACACAAACGTCTTAAATAAAGGCTATAAATAGTATCCTGCTTCAACACCCCCCACGGCCACCTCACCTCCCCCTTCCCCACTACGTCATGTTTTTGTTGATTGGAAAGCTTTGCACTGTCACTCTTCGCCCTGTCACTCAGACACGTCGTGTAGGGAACAAAATGCGTGAATCGTATACTTCAAAAAAAAAAAAAAAACCACAACAAAAAACGAATGATGTTTTTCCCCCCCACGGCCACCTCCCCTCCCCCTTCCCCACTACGTCATGTTTTTGTTGATTGGAAAGCTTTGCACTGTCCCTCTTCGCCCTGTCACTCAGACACGTCGTGTAGGGAACAAAATGCGTAAATCGTATACTTCAAAAAAAAAAAAAAAACCACAACAAAAAACGAATGATGTTTTGATTGCTCCCCGGCTGACCTTCGCCAACTTGGCGTTCCTGATGGTGATGAGTTGCTGGGCAATCACGGACAGCACCTCGATGTTGATCCTGTTGAACTCATCGAAACAACACCAGGCGCCCGACTGCGCGAGTCCTGAGAAAAATCCGCCCATCATCTGGGGAAGAAGAACAACGAAAAAGATGACAAATCCAACTTGATGTAGATCATTTATGAGAGTTTGTAGTTAAGCTCCAACCCCACCCCAAAGATATAATCTAAATTTAATTTTTATGAACTCTGCGGTCCAACATTTTAAGATAAACATCTTCTACCCTTTACCCCGGCACTAAAACGGATTACCTTACGGATGTTTACTTACGCCGCGTGTATGTATAAACTAAATGTTTATACTTCTCAATTTTGTGAAGGAAATAGCAGAACAGGGTGAGTCGAAGAACCAAATAGAAAGACGGGGAATTGAAAAGAATAACGATTCGACTAACAGCCTTCCTCGGCAGACAGGACAAATGAAGAAATAACAAGAAAAAGAAAGTATTTAAAGGAAATGATTCTATAACCAGTACCCCCACCCCACATTCCCCACCTCTCATTACCCTATTGACCACACTCCCCACCTCAGTAACCCACATCCATCAACCCCTCATTTAATTGTACCCGACACCCCCACCACTCATCACCCCGTTACCCACACTCTCCACCACTCATTACCCTGTAATCCAAACTGTCCGAGCAGTTGAAGACCACGCACTGTATGGCTAAAGCTTTTGCCAAGTCTTTTGTCGTCTCGGTCTTGCCGGTGCCGGCCGGACCAGCAGGCGCCCCTCCTAGGTCCAGCTGCAGGGCTCCCATGAGGCACAGATAGCATCGGTCCTGTCAATGGGGGAGCAGTGGGGGTTTGAGAGGGGGTGGGGGTAGTAGATTTCATCACAATGAACCTGTTGGCGCATTTTAAAATGTAGGTCAAACATTTCAGTATGTTTTAATCAGTCGTGTTTTAGTTCGTCCGTCGAAGTTGACTATGACCGTTTCATTCATCGGATTGGTTTAACGGCTCAATCTGTCGGTGCACAGTTGGCTGACGAGGCCTAGTCTGATGTTGTAGAATGTAGTCAATTACAAAATCCAATAGCGATTTTGAATGTCTCACCGACTCAGCTGTCAAAAACAACCACTCTGAACTTTGGTCACTTCTTTAACTCAGGAAAAAAAAATAGAACTGATTTGACACATAATACTTTAGTAACTTAATATTAATTTACACTCAAGCGTCTCTCGAACCTTTTGTATTGCTGTACCACTCAAGTCATCGGGTAAGAAAATAACAGCCGTGCAAACAGTTCGTAATTCAGACAGTGCATCTGTTTTTGTAACTGTGTTATGTAAAGGTTATATCCTTACGAATCAACTGGACCCAGGTCATGTCCCCATAAGCATTTCACGTACAACGGTTTGATAATTTCTGCTTCACCCAATAGAGGGCTGTTGTCAAGATGCAATTTTCATGTTTAAAATACCACTGTCCCTATCCAAGCAGAGTAGGTCCAATCATAACGATGCTTTTAAACTTTAAATACAAAATGTTGATATTTACTTTCCTAATTGATGTTACAGTGTACACTTTATATATATATATATATATATATATATATATATATATATATATATATATATATATATGATTATATACCTTGTAACATCTCAATCCCCACCCCTCATTACTCCCGTAACCCTTCCTTTCAAGCCTCCCATTACAGTAATCCAAATTGTCCCAGCAGTTGAAGACCAGTCTTGTTCCACCGATGCCTTTTTTTTTTCTTCCGTACCCTAAATTATAATTATATTCGTGAATAACCATTTTATAAAATCTACTTCAGAAATAACAAATGTCCCTTCCCCCCCCCCAACCCCACGCTTACCGTCAGTGGCGTAATGACCAGCCTTGGACACGCCCCTAGGTATTCGTAGCCATATCCGTAGACGGCGTTAGACATGCAGACGACGCAGTTGTCCAACTCGACATTCCAGTAGTAACGGAGCTGCTTCTGCCACTCAAAGCTGATGAGTTCAGATACCTGCAGCCAGACAACACAAACAGCGATCATAGATATATATATAAAGCCAATCAATTAAATTATACCTAATAAAGTATACCTAAAGTATACTTATTTATCCGGACACAAGAACGGGATAAAACAAACAAGCAGCAATGAAACCCTTAAATCCTGAACGCGTACTGATGTTTGTTGACTGTGCATAGCTCCGGCTGTCACTAAGACCATAGAAGTGAATACGATCATGTGTTGGGAAGTTGTCGTTGGAAATGCGCATCTCCACGGAGAAAAAAAATATATCCATAGTTGAGCGATATGTCGCGGAGGAACAAATATCCATAGTTGAGCGATATGTCGCGGAGGAACAAATATCCATAGAAATATCCATATCACTCGTAAGTTAATGAACCTAATTGGTGACCGTGTTAGAAAAAAAATGTGGGAGATCAATTCTAGTAGAGATTTAAAAAAAGAAAAGAAAAAAAATAACACGGTTTTAGAGAGGTACGTTGTCAACAGAAAGGGAAATCTGATCAAACAGATGTGACCTTCTTTCAACACTCACGCATTCCTATAAAAAAAAAAATAGATCCTCGTACACTACAGGCAGAAAGACATCATCTTGTGTCACGCATACTTGGCTCCATCAGGTGTTGTCTAACGTGCATGCGAACATGAAATGTTCCTATGTTCGGGAAAAAAATCCATGAACGTACGTGCGATGATGTTCAGCTTGAGAGATGTTCAGTTTTAGAGATGATGTTAAGTTTGAGAGATGATTTTAAGTTTGAGAGATGATGTTCAGTTTGAGAGATGATGTTCAGTTTGAGAGATATTCAGTTTGAGAAATGTTCAGTTTGAGAGATGTTCAGTTTGAGAGATGTTCAGTTTGAGAGATGTTCAGATTTCGTAGGGATTAGTGCAACATCCTCTCGAGAAACGGGCATGGCTTTCTAAATCGAAAAATGTACCGGTCGACCCCCAGACTTTCTCCATCGTTCAGACACTACACTTCCACAACGGGTAAATTTCGTAACTAGGGATCGTTCCATCTCATAAAATCTGTCTTTGAATTGTACCGCCACTTCTTTTCAAACATGGTACCCCATCACAATCACTTAATCCTACTCGTATGAGCCAAAATAGTGCTCATCCACTATGATTTTGTTCCTCCGTAGAGCCATTTCAAGGCAAGAACTGCCCAACACATCTTTCCTTGACCCCTCAGGGGACACATAACGGGTGGAGCAGCTGTGCACCGTTGGCAAATGCACGTAAGGGTTCAGGAGGGGGGGGGGGGGGGGTTCAGTACTTTTACTTTGGGCGCTTACTGTATATTAAGAAGAAAAAAAAATTGACAATGGCAAAGTGAATACAGACTTTATTATTATTTTTCTGAATAATATTTTACCTTAAACATCTAAAAAATGATCACACTGAAAGACATTTATTTATATGTTTTGACACATATTTTTTCCCTTATGTATAATACCCGTTTACACAGAACTTATAGCTTAAAAACCCTTTACACATAACTCACATCTTAAAAACCCTTTACACATAACTAATAGCTTATAAACCCTTTACACATAACTTTAGCTTATAAGCTCTTGACATAGAGCTTAATAACCCTTTACACAGGACTTATGGCTTATACACCCCCCCCATTCATCCTCCATAATTCCCCCTTGACCCACAATTCACACTCCACAAAGACCTCTGACCTGCTTCCTGACCATGTCCGTTATCATGTCCCTGGCGTGCACGTTAATCGTGATAAGTGCGCACAGAGTGGCACGCGCCAGCTTTGGTAGCTCCCCTCGGACAGCTGCCGCCAGAAGGTTGAGTTCCTGCGAGGAGAGACAGAGGCATGCGGTCTATTCAGTCATGAAGTCATTTCAATCCCGCAATCAATTCAGTCATGCAATCATTTCAATCCTGCGATCACTTCAGTCATGCAATCAGTGACCTCACTTTGTTTTATTCATTTTCTTTTTTAGCCAACCCGATTGCAGTCCTTCCCCTGATTACGGGTAAGCAATACCATTGGTAGAAAGTCTAGCCCATCAGCTCTTCCTCATTTCTCTCTCTGAGTGTGTGTAAAATCATCATACAGTGTGAGATTTACCGGCTTGAAATTATCTTAAATCCCGGTAAATCTCACAGAAATGTGGTTCTAAATGACGCCATAGGCTTTAATCATGGGGTAACCGTACCAAAACTCCCAGAAATGTTGGTCTAAATGACGCCATAGGCTTTTATCATGGGGTAACCCATACCGAGAAGCTTTTTTGCTCGAAGTCTCGCATGGCCCTGATCGATGACCTGGTGTCTCTGAGGATGTTGGTGACATCACGAGTCCACATCATTTGACATATGGTGAGTACAACCTGGTGGAGGAATAAAAAAAACAACAACGAATCCTGTATGATATCCCAGCCAAATTGATAAGTGATACGACACCGTTTACGTGTGAAGCCGATACTACGTGGTAAACCGTACCTTTCCAAGCATAATACCCAATGAGCATTATGTTTAATTTCAAATTACAATTGGTCCCTTCATATACAGAGGGTCAGCTTATGTTCCTTACTGCTGGGGCGTTTGCCTCATTGAGTTTAAACAGTTGCTGTTTTTTAAAATAAATATGAATACTAATATGTTTCTGGGTTGCTCGAATGGCATGCATACCATTGTAAATCTCTTTGCCTTATACAGGGCCGGCCATATGGTCGCTGTAACCTCGGGCAAATGCCTGAGCTGCCGGCACCTTGAGCCGACACTAGTTACATACCCTTTACCTCTCTCTCTCTCTCCTCCAATTTTTCTCTCTCTCTGCTACAACTTTTGAGTGACGTCATTACTCGCTACTTGAATACTATTTTGTCAGCCGCATTAACTTTTTCAATGTTATTTTTAAATAAAAAAAAAAAAGCGAACTAACAAATGACGAGATGTGAGGAAACAACAGTGCATTGTCGAAATTCGTCGCGGTCCTTTCAATAGCACTCGACGATGCTCAACCGATGCGTTTTTTTTTTCTACCCGTGAGGTGATGATTCCTACCTGTAAGGTGATGATTCCTACCTGTAAGGTGATGATTTCTACCCGTGAGGTGATGATTCCTACCTGTGAGGTGATGATTCCTACCTGTGAGGTGATGATTCCTACCTGTAAGGTGATGATTCCTACCTGTAAGGTGATGATTTCTACCCGTGAGGTGATGATTCCTACCTGTGAGGTGATGATTCCTACCTGTGAGGCGTTTGCCATAACCCAGCTGAGAAAGCTGGTCGTCTCGTAATCCTTGATGGATTTCTTACAAAGACGTCGCAGGCTGGCAAACATGGCCTCCTCCACTTTACACAGCCAGTCTTCTACATTACCGCGGGCCTTCAGACCCTAGGGATAGCACGAGGAAAAAACAAGACATTGTAAAAAAAAAAAAAAAAAAAAAAAAAAAAATTAAAAAAAAGATAAAAAAAAAAAAAAAAAAAAAAAAAAAAAAAAAAAAAAAAAAAAATCTTCAACACAGTGTTTAAAAAAAAAAAACAGCAGCAAGTAAAAACATGAACGAAAAGGACGAAACAAAACAACGAAAAAGTCGCCAAGATAGTGTCTTCATCGTTCGCCGTTCACGTGCGAGGATGATCACGTCACTATTCGACTTCAGTAGAAAACTTGACTTGAGTTCTATTCTGTTTAGAGTGAGGGCGAGTTTCTCAATTAGTCGGCCTCACTTTCTCGTCCTTGCCTATTTGATCCGAAGGCAAAAGTTAACCCAGACGCCTGGACATAGACCTGGATGTCGTGGATGATCAGCAGTGTTTTGTCTTGTGTGTTTCACTGCGCGCTCTTTACGCGCCCCACGTCGCAGGAGTTGTCAGAATTTTAATTGTGTCAATGCCATACTACCTACGGGACTCCATGTTTTGATTTCAGAGTTTGCCTTCTCTTAGATGATGCCGTTAACGAGTCCGATCCACTCGCGAAAAGTACAATCAAAGAGTGACCAGTGTTTTAAAAAAAAAAAAACAGTGGCGAAAAAAAACAACAACAAATAATTATAAACTTCCCAGTACATGGACGGTTTTTTAAGTATATCAAAATAGATTGCATGTTCAAACATATGGCACGGGGATGGCGTTCGATGTCGACACCACAGAGTATTTCATTTGTTCAAGTCTGTTTTTACTGACACTCAGATTAAGTTTCAAATAATCAGTTGTGGAACCTGACACGGTGGCGTTGGAAGGGTGGCGGATGGTGCAGACCCCCCCCCCCTCCCTCTTAGTAGATTGAGGGCCGGCATTTTCGACCGAATGCATAGCTTTTTCGAGGAAGATTGTCGACACCACAGAGTATTTCATTTGTTCAAGTCTGTTTTTACTGACACTCAGATGAAGTTTCAAATAATCAGTTGTGGAACCTGACCCGGTGGCGTGGGAAGGGTGGCGGATGGTGCAGACCCCCCCCCCTCCCTCTTAGTAGATTGAGGGCCGGCATTTTCGACCGAATGCATAGCTTTTTCGAGGAAGAGAAAAAAATGGGGGTGGGGGCGGAAAAAAGGCGTGGCCCGCCTCGTACGGCACAAACCATAGCTACGCCACTGTACAGATATTCGCCTTAAACCTAACCAGCGATGCTAGCTCACATCGCGATATCTGCCGTAAGGTTTATTTATGCAACAGTAGCAAGATTGGCTTTTTCAAATACAGTTTTTGCACAAATAAATGTTATAGACAACCCATGATTAGAAAAAGGAATGTACAACATACAAGATTTGTATACCTTTCCTAAGGCGATCTTCTCCCCTTCAGGCGAAATCATAGACAGAATATCATTCGTGTATTGGATTTCCTCTCCTGGGGAAAAAAAAACATGCAAAAAAAAAAAAAAAAAAAAAACAATCTAAATTTAACAATGTCACCAAAAACAGAAATACTCATAACGGAAAAATCAACAATTTTTGCTCCAAATGATTAGAGATAAAATTTTGGAGGGATAAAGAGTAGGACTGAATTTATTTTCCTCGCTTTTCACTCATTGCAACAAATTATTCAGACATTAAAACAAGCAATGACACACAGAAAAGAAGTATCTTCGACTGACAATGGGACGCCAACAAAAATCCACCTGTTGGGGGCGCCTCAAAATGTCCATATTACAATCACACACATCAACAATATCCACCTGGTAGGGGTTCCCTCAACAAACCAAAAAATCTTCTTCTTTATTTTGAGGGCCCACGATCAATGAATTGATCATTCTGGCTCCTATGTTTCAGAAGGGTTCGCGATGTTACTGTGCGTGGTTTTCAAGGGGATACTTCACTGGTTGCTAGAGCTACTCAGCAGTGGTATTATGAACTGGGGGCTGGAAGACAGGAGGCAATAGACACAAATGTGTCAAGTATTCCGGTCCCTTATTGTTCTTTGCAGGAACGAGAAGCTCCTGGACTGAGTTCTTGTTTAGTTAGCCGGAACTGCCTGTCGTGGCCTCGTCGCTGTCTAGGGCGGAGATGGACGAGTTTCCGTTTGATGCTGGAGCAGTGGACCAGCCCATTTGTGATCTTGTACAACATGATGAGCCTGGATATTCGTCGTCGTTCTTCCAATGGTGACCACTTGAAGTGTTTCTGTAGCGGTTCAGGACAAAGCGTGCTGCCCGTCCCTGGAGCACCTCCAACCTGTCGATGCTTTTCTGGGTGAATGGGTCCCAGACTGAAGATGCGTACTCTAAAAGCGGCCGGACAAATCAAATCACAGACACTAAAAAAAACCCACATGGTGGAGGCCCCCAATAAGCCCATATTCCTATCACAGACACCAAAAGGAACCAAATTTTGGGGAGCCCTCAACTAGACCACATTCCAATCACATACATCAACTACACCCACCTGGTGGGAGTCCCTCAACTAAACCAAACTCCAATCACAGACATCAACTACACCCACCTTGTGGGAGTCCCTCAACTAGACCGAACTCCAATCACAGACATCAACTACACCCACCTGGTGGGAGTTCCTCAACTAAACCAAACTCCAATCACAGACATCAACTACACCCACCTGGTGGGAGTCCCTCAACTAGACCAAACTCCAGCTTGTGGATGGCGTCGAAGCACTTCCGGAGGTGGGGCTGAACCGCCAGCGGGTTTCTGGTCTGGGCCAGAATCTCGAGAAGCTCGTCGTTGGACAGGAAGTAAAACCTGGGGATTTAGTGACAACGCTGCAGTCAAAGGGGATATCTTGGAGTTTTTCAAATTTTATTTTAATTTAGTCATATGTATTGAGATTATACTTGGGTTGTTAACATAAAATTGTATAATCAGTTTTAGGAATCGTGAACAGGTTCTTTCTTTTTATTATATGGAGGCGAATGTGGTGGCTAATTTGTAAGAGATAAAAATGTACCATTTTAATAACGCGCTTCTATTTGCTTTTCTTTTTTTTTGGTGCTTTTTTTTAAAAAAAAAAAAAAGGAAAAGAAGGTTATTTAAAAAATCAAATACCATTGCCTTTCGTTCACCTCAAATAAAATGTATCATTTTAATAACGCGCTTTTTTTTGGTTTTGTTTTTTTTTGGTGTTTTTTTTTAAAAAAAAAAAAAAAGAAAAGAAGGTTATTTAAAAAATCAAATACCATTGCCTTTCGTTCACCTCAAATGTGTGGCTACTTCGTGAGATTTCATAAGTTGAAATATCTCAAACTCTCAAACAAAGTTGTTTACGATTCAAGCTCTTCGGGAAAAGTAAATTTAAATTGTAACAATATGCGTTTGGGCTTAAACACTGTGAACTGGAAACACTCAAGTGTTCACTTTCAAATAAAAGGTTTCTTCTTCTTGTTTTTATAATGTCTGCTGAAGAAGGCATTTAGCCAAAACGGCCTCTTTTAAATGTTATGTATCTCTCCCCCCCCCCCCACACGGCTTGAACCAACCCCCCCCCCCCCCAACAACCCCTGTAATATCAGGAAGAATTATGTACATTATTATTCAACTGGTATATTGACAAAAATTGATAGCGGTCATGCTGCTCACCTCGGGAAGGCGACCCTCTTTGTCTCCAGATAAGCTTCCAGACACTTCAGTATCTTATCCAGGAGCTCGTTGTTGTATTCAAATGTTTCCCACAAGCCTAGGAGACGGGTGAAGGGGGTGGAACTCATTATAATTTATATTAAAAAAAAGTATCATATATATTATTCGGTTAATTTTTATTGTTAGTCTGATTATTACTTAATTGAAAAAAGAACTACATTTGTTGTTTTTTTATGATTGTAATTATCGCAATATACATTTATATTACAAAATTTTTTTTTTATTTTTTATTTTTTATTAACTCTATTATCTTTCTTAACAATTCTAAAGCAATAAACTCAAATTTAAGAGAACAAAATCTTGACATCATTAGTTATAGCACTGGACATTGCCTGGAGAGATGGTAGAGCAACCGAGTGTTCTCAAACAAGGACACGCAGTAGCAACATTTATTATTTCCCTAACCATTTTCTAAACTATTTGTCTTCTTATAGTATGGTGTATCATATTCGGAAATCTGTTTGAAAGAAATTTCGTCGACGGAAAATTGATCAACGGAAGTTTGGTAGAACGGAAGTTTGGTCGAATGTTGTTTTTTAGTTCACACGTTAAAATTTTGCGTCAAATTTCTTTTTGATCACATTATTTTGTTTTACTATATAGTATAGTGCGTTCAAAAAGAAATTTGACGAAAATGTGATCGTGTGAACTGAAAAAAAAAATCGACCTTGACCTACTTCATGGCCTAATTAAGCCGATTGGTTTTCCCATTTACCAGGTTGAGCTCCGTTTCGTATGGCGAGCGGTGTCTTCTTGACGCGCCTCATGATCTCCTTGTACGACCTGTCGACCTCCACAAACAATTTTGCCTCCACGGGCAGCTGCCTCTGAATGTCAGGCGCGCTGAAGATCGACTCCAGGTAGAGCCAGGTTCTCTGACAGGTGATCCAAGACTCCTGCAGATTGTATGAAATTTTGGCACATACCACGCCATCGGATAAATGGGATATGTTGTATTTGTATGAACATGGAGATTGAGTCGGGCTTCGGTTATTATTTGTAAGTTGCCCGGAAGGAATACCTCAGCGAGAAAACACGAGAGGAAAGAGATTGACGCTTTAGCGCATGCGCACATGTCTTATTGTCCTTTGTAAAAATCACGATGTGTTAAGAAACAAATGCTTATACATATAGCAAAAGTAAGACTACAAAAATGGTCGCAAACTGTAGGGAATGCACTCTAGCCCCACATAGAGCAGATATGGCAGAATGGGCAGTGACGACAGAGTGGTCAGTGAGAGCAGCGACGTCAGTGAGGGCCAGAGAGGAAGAGTGGGCAGAGACGGCATTGAGGGCAGTGCACCAGCTGACTTCGTGACCCGATCTTGAACTCAGATTAATATAGATTTGTGTTCGGACCAACACCATTTTTCCGCCCGCGATCCTAAAGTTTTCAACCACAATTTGTTTTCTTCAGGCGACACAACAGGCACAATTTGGAATCATGAATTAACTTTTGTCAAATAAATAAATAATCAGATAAATAATCTCAGATCAATAATAGCAGATCACAATTTTAGGAAATAGCTGAACATCTGAACAATCGTCTTGAGTCCTGACTCCGACTGTGATGTTAACATCCCACCTGGACTCTAAAACGGACTGTCGAATCATTTTTGTCGCGAATTGAATTTTTTTTGTTCAAAAAAGGCAAAAGAGTCATTTTAATTATCATAGGTCAAAGCTGAATTAAGATTTAAAAATTGTTATAAGAAACAAGACCAGGCATAATATATTCAAAAGTTGAAATGATAGTTCCTACTTCTACGAAGCCAAACAATAACAACAACAACAACAACAACAACTGACCAGCGTCTTGTTAAACAACGTCAGACTGGCCGCCCACTCTTCCACCTTGGCCTTGATCGGCCCGACGTGCCGGGACGACTGGATCGTCTGGATGTTGATGTTGCTGTCGTCCAGCAGCTGCTGGATCTCGTCCGTCCCGCCGAGGATGTAGACGTCCTTCTGGTCCTTGTAGGGCAGGACCGTGAACTCGACGTGCTTCCAGGAGTCGACCACCTGTGAGTGTTGGGGGGGGGGAGAAGATCCGGGAGGTGAGGCGAGCAAGGGCGGCTAGTTAAATTCCACGATCAAATATTTAATATCCCATAGGGCCGTCTCTACCGTTTGGCAATTGCAGGCGGCCGTCTAGGGTGCCACAATTTTAGGGGCGGTAAAGGGCGGATTTTTTTTTTTAAATTTGATAATGAGCAGCAAAATAATTGAGCAAATGAGGAGGAGGGAAAATGAAATATGGGGAAAAATTGTAAAAATTAAAAATCGTTTAATGTTGAATACAAGTTTTGTATGTTTAATGCATTAACTTTTCTAGCCTGGTTGAAAGGCTGAGTGGGTGTGGGGGTGGAGTGATGGTAGTAAAAGGTAGGGGTGGCATTTTTTCAATTCTCGCCTAAGGCAGCACAATACGGGTAAACACACTGAAACGCCCTTGACAGTATGCGAAGAGATGCCTGAAAATTTAGCTTGTCTTCTGTAACTATTTTATGGGCCATAACAACGGGAGAGCAGGGTTTCCCAAAGTCAGGCAGGACTGATCAAGTCAGGCGAGGCAGCAGGGTTGCCAAAGCAGGGCTCTCAAATTCAGACAGGGCAGAAGGGTTGCCAAAGTTAGGCAGGGGAGAAAGGTTTCTAAAGTTAGGCGGGGCACCAGGGCTGCAAATGTCAGACAGGGCAGCAAGGTTTGCAAAGTCAGGCAGGGGAGCAGTTTTGCCAAAGTCAGGCAGGGGAGCAGGGTTGCCAAAGTCAGACAGGGCAGCAGGGTTGCCAAATTCAGACAGGGCCGCAGGGTTGCCTAAGCCGGGAAATATTCGACCTAAAAATGAATTGTCCACAAAATACTTAATGATTGCCGTAAACTATGGGACATTGGACAAACATCCCTTGAAGCGAAACAGAAACCACGGGGACAGAAAGGGGGGGTGGAGGGATAACTCAACCTTATGTATGTCACCTTGTGGGCTTTAAAACGTGTATGATGATACTCGGGACAACTCTAAAACTGATGAGTTGCCTTTGCCATAAATTAACCTGTTAAAATAGACTTAAGCCTCAGGGTCACATGACATAGATAGAGTCATACACCAGACGTAGGCGTCGTAGACGTAGTCACATAAACATAGCTGTACGGCAATCTGAATTAGCTTCAAAGGTTTATCTAACAAAGTAAGCTTAAAAAAAAAAAAACAAAAAAAAAAACCAAAGTACAGATCGTCCAAAATAATTGTGGAGTTTTAGAAAATGTTTTTTTAATTTTTTAATTTCCTTTTCAGAACCCTACAGTGGAGGTATATATATCTCCATTGAAGTTAATGCACACGACAAAAGAGGTGCCTAATTAAAAACTTAATAGATATTTGAAACTTGTTATTGTTTTACAAATTAAAAAAAATATATATGTTTCTAAACCTGCAGATTTTTTGTCTGTTTTCTAAAGGATCTTCTAAATTTGAAACCTAAAAAAAAAAATGCAAACCCCTATCTGTATGTTCAGATTCATTTGGTCATTTTCAGTATGGGTTACCTTCTTGAGAATACTCTCTAGCGCCGCCTGCGATGACGCCATGCCGGATATCTCCATCATCATGTCCGCCTTCTCGAAGGCGTTGATCTCCACCAGCAGCCCCAGCGTCAGCGGCTCGTCTTTGGTGAACTTGTAGTTCAGCGCGTCCTGGATCAGGTCCCAGTGGCGTTTCTTGAGGTGGGGGTTCCTCATATCAGTGATGACTTGGAGCTGATTTAAGAAAACTATGCGTTGTCTATTACATCATCCCGGGAATACATTTACATTAAATGTGCATTATATTTTAGTTTAGTTTCTTGCTTTGAAAAATCAACCTATCCCAACTAAAACCACCTGCAGCTTGATGTCACTGAACTCAGCTCAGAAATTAAACGAGAAAATCGTAGGTAATGGGGCACTGTTCATGTGTGGTCGGCACCTATACTATTTGTATGAACTTGTGTTCTTGACCAGCGATTAGCAATCGCATTTTGTGTAAAACCCTCATCTATGTGATAAACACTTGTAATTTTGTTATGTAATTAAATTTGTCATTTTGATGTCTGATTAGCACTTTAACTATTGATGTGTCATTCGCACTATTGATGTGTGATTATCGCCATTGATGTGTCATGAGCAGTATAACGATTGATAGCACTTTAAATATTGCTGTATGATCAGCACTAGCAATGGGTGATTCGCCCCGCCGACCTGTAATTAGCACTATACTGATGTGACAGCACTCGTACTATCCGTGTCCTGGTCAATACTTGCCCTCTGTTTCATGACCTCCACTTTCTTCTTCAGCATGGTGACCACATCGTTGGGGGGCAGGCCTTTCTCTAGCTGCTGTACCGTCTTCAGGTATTTCATTGTGGTGGCCGTCACCTCTTCCGGCTCGAGATTCATGAACGGCGTCTGGCCAATCAGAATGGAGCTAGAGTTGGTGAATTCGCTTCATAAACTCACTTTTAACAAGGGGCCGTTCACAAATTACGTCACGCCTATAATGATATTTTAGACCCCCCTCCCCCCCCCCGTCACAAAGTCTTACNTTTTTCCATAATGATAATGGATAATATATAGTATTGTTAGAAAACTGTGACGTAAGACAACGAGGTCATCCCCGAGCCAAAAGTGAAATAGCCACAACAGTTTTTGCATCATTTTTCGATATGCGCAGAAGGTGTTCACGGTACTTATTATACCAGAGGCAATTTCAAACTCAAATTAACAACGTTTTTCATAATTAGCACATGTCAGAGTTTTTAAAAATAAAAAAAGGTGTGACGTCACAAATTTATGGCGCACCCCCGCCCCCCCCCCCCTTTTCACAAAGTGTCTTATATTCTAGATCCCCCTGCCCCAGAGCGTGACGTAATTTGCGAACGACCCCTAATGGCATCCTAAATCTAAAAGCCCCACAACACCATCCCACCCCCCACACACAAACACAAAATAATAATAAATAATACATAAAATGATAAAAAATAAATAATTGGTTTGCAAAAATCTACATATATTTTGTTGAAAATGTGTAAGATTATTTTTGTATTAATACTGAATTAATTTTTATTTATTTGAAGAAAAAAACACCTTTATTCTACAAGGCATATTCTAACTCTCTTCTATACACACTCATATAAGAAGTTAAATTTAAGCTCTCTTCTATTACACACTCATAAAAGTAGTTAAATTTCAACTCTCTTCTATACACACTCATATAAGAAGTTAAATTTCAGCTCTCTTCTATTACACACTCATAAAAGTAGTTAAATGTCAACTCTCTTCTATACACACTCATATAAGAAGTTAAATTTCAACTCTCATCTATACACACTCATATAAGAAGTTTAATTCGAACTATTTTCTATACAATTCATATAATAAGTTAAATTTCAACTCTCTTGTTTACACACTCATATAAGAATTTAAATTCTAACTTTTTTCTATACACACTCAAATAAGAAGTTAAATTCTAACTCTCTTCTATACACACTTAAATACGATGTTAAATTCCAACTCTTCTCTATACACACTCATATAAGAAGTTAAAGAATAAATTCTAAAATTAATTTTTAATAATTAAAAAAAAAACTGCTTTAAATTTTTTATTTTAGAATTATCTCCCCAAGCCCCATCCCCACCACGGACGACCGTACCTGGGATGCACAACAGTACGCACGCGCGCTTGATAACGCCCATCCATTGGTGCGGTCATTGGCGTGACCGGCGGTTGTAAAGTTCCGGTGCTGCTTACCTCAGTCCAACGATCGATGATCTTGTCCCACTCATCAATGGACGACCACATAGTGTCCCTCAATCGGAGCTCAGCCTGGGCGTCGTCCAGGTAGTCCAGCTTGGTTACTTCAACCTGGTCAGTTCATTCAGAGGTCAATGGTATCGTTGTGGGTTTAAAACAAAAAAAAAAAAATAATAAATTTAATTACCGAAAAAATCTTAAAAATTTCGAGAAATAATCTTCATTGATGCTGTTTGTAAATTATATTTCAATGTGAAATGAGCCCTTTGGACTCTTTTACTTAACTTTTCGGAACGAGATTTCTTCTCTTCTAGGAAAAAAAATAAAAGGTTATAACACACGATGATTTTGTATTCAACGCTAGATGAATTTAAATTTTGAATACCGCCAGGAATGCAGTTCCGGCGGAAAAGGTTGAATGCCATCAACAGTCAATGATGGCTGAGTTGACATAAAATTAACTTAATATCTTATTTTTAAAAGAGTGTAAAAAAACAACGACAACATCCATATGTTATCACCAACAAGTTTAAGTTTTGAATGTTTAACCGGAAACGACTGACCTTCAGTTCTTTTTGTCTTTCTCGTAAAGTCTTGGCCTTCTGTTGCGTGATGGCCATCTGTTTGAGGAGATCATCCAAGTATTCCCTGACCTCCTCCCTGTTGGCCTTGGGGTCGAGAATCATGGGGTTCTGAAATGGATTTTGAAATGTATTGAGCGTGTAATATTGCCAAATTAAATACGTCATATAGACATTTGGTTTGGGGGGTGGGGGGGGGGCTATGTTAGCTATTGGAGATGATGTTACCTTGTGGAGATGTTAGCTAGTGGAGATGTTAGCTAGAGGAGATGTTAGCTAGTGGAGATGTTAGCCAGTGGAGATGTTAGCTAGTGGAGTTGTTAGCTAGTGGAGATGTTAGCTAGTGGAGATGTTAGCTAGTGGAGATGTTAGCTAGTGGAGGTGTTAGCTAGTGGAGATGTTAGCCAGTGGAGATGTTAGCCAGTGGAGATGTTAGCTAGTGGAGATGTTAGCTAGTGGAGATGTTAGCTAGTGGAGGTGTTAGCTAGTGGAGGTGTTAGCTAGTGGAGATGTTAGCTAGAGGAGATGTTAGCTAGAGGAGATGTTAGCTAGTGGAGATGTTAGCTAGTGGAGATGTTAGCTAGTGGAGATGTTAGCTAGTGGAGATGTTAGCTAGTGGAGGTGTTAGCTAGTGGAGTTGTTAGCTAGTGGAGATGCTAGCTAGTGGAGATGCTAGCTAGTGGAGATGTTAGCTAGTGGAGATGTTAGCTAGTGGAGGTGTTAGCTAGTGGAGGTGTTAGCTAGTGGAGTAAACACGTGATTTCATAATATGATTCGAGTCGAAATAAAAACAAAAGAAGCTTATTTGTAGGGGAGTCAAACGATCATCTTGAAAATATAGCATTTTATAGCCATATACTTGTATCTTTTCAGTCATATAGTACAGTACTTCGTACCTGCATTTTTTCAGTCCTTTTATTACAGTACTTCGTACAAGCATCGTTCCATTCATATATTACATCACTTCGTACCTGCATGTTTTTCGTCATATAGTACAGCACTTCGTACCTGCATCTTTTCAGTCATATATTTGGCCTCGGCCAGGTACTCCTGGGCATCCTTCTCCGCGCACTTGTTGAACTTCTCAACGATCGTGTCCCGGCCAGACAGGGCCCGGTCAATCATGTTCTTCGAATTGTAGATGATAGGGTCCATGGTCTGCACAACGATGAACAACAGGCAAGAATCAGTCTGAATATCGTTTAAGACTGGGCAGAGAATGGCACTGAAGACTTTTTGGGGAGTGGCATTTAAGACTGGGCAGAGAATGGCACTGAAGACTTTTTGGGGAATGACATTTAAGACTGGGCAGAGAATGGCACTGAAGACTTTTTGGGGAATGACATTTAAGACTGGGCAGAGAATGGCACTGAAGACTTTTTGGGGAGTGGCATTTAAGACTGGGCAGAGAATGGCACTGAAGACTTTTTGGGGAATGACATTTAAGACTGGGCAGAGAATGGCACTGAAGACTTTTTGGGGA